ACACTTGGGGCAATCTTCAGGAGTGCAGAAAAATCTGAAAATCTGAAAAAATATATGGGGGATACTTAAATCCGAAAAAAGTAAAATAGTGTTCCCTGCGCATGCGCAGAGAATACACTGGGAACTGCCTCGCTGCCATTGTGGAGGGGGCGGCTTGGCAGGCCTGGCGGCTGGGAGTTGCTCAGGCCTCACCGCCGGTGCCAGAGGGGTGGGAAAAGGCTCGGAGGGCCTGGCGGCTGGGAGCTGCTCAGGCTTCATCACCGGTTTTAGGGGGGGAGGCCCAGCAGGCCCAGCAGCTGGGAGCTGCTCAGGCCTCGCTGCTGGTGCTGGGGGGGGCGGAAAAAGGTTTAGCGGGCCCAGGCCTTGCCATCGGTGCCGGGGGTGGGTGGGAGAGGGCTTACCTGCAGCTGCTTCCTCCTCTTCCATGTGGAGTTCCTCCCCCCCCCGTGAATATCATGGGTCACCGCTTCTTGTTCCTTCTAATCTTCTTCCATAATATCAACTATAACCATCATGAACTAGTTTATCTCTAAATGTGCCACAGTCTTTAGACTTAAAGAGTCTTCACTCACCGCCAGTTCCATTTGTTGTAACAGATGTACTGCTAAGATTAGATTTGTCCAGTTTAGAATTACTCGGTGTTTCACCACTTCCCACAAGATTATGAGGACTTGCTAGATCCTGCATTTCCATAGATCTATTAGAAGAAAAGAAATGCTATTACTATATACTATTTGTATTATAGAAGTGTGCGCAGATCTGAGTCATCCTTGATATGTGTATTCAAGCTGAAAATAAATAATGTATAATTTTCACAAAAATAGTATCGGAGAAAGAAGAATCGAATTTTACAGTCAGACTCATATTCTGAGTGAAACGTGTGGGAAACTGGAACCCCCAAGGAAGGGGGAAGGAGAACAGCTGGAGTATTCTATTCAAATCATACTCTCTTATAGCACAGTGGGCAATCCTAGAGCTATGTCCTAACAAACGTCTCCTGGAACATCTGAAGACATGTTTATGCACACTTCCTGGATTATACACTATAGTTTACAATGCAATGCATGCATTTCAAACGCTGCACTCAGTGATCTCCTGCAAAGCTGGAAGTGGGTGAAGTCACTGTTTGGCCTTCACTTGCATGCTGCAGGGTTTTTGCAAGCCCTGCCCCCCCCCCCAGATCTGAAGATCTCCTGGGACGGTCCTGGGAGGTCTGTGTTGGCAGATGCACAGACCAGGCTCACAAACCATGAACTGGGCCCCAGTCTGTAGAAAAATTAGTTCCATGGTCCAGTCCATGCCCATTCCTGTCTGGCTCTAATTTTTTGATGCATCTTTTGTCAGTTTGAATGGTTTTTTAAATGTGATTTTATTATGTATATTTTTATGGAGACGGGAATGTTGGCTCCTTCTCTGCTTTTTACAGAGGCATACAATATTTTGTTTTGCCCTTCCCAGTTCCTCAAATGGATGGGAAGTTCTAGGGACAATTCTCATCACATTAGTTTCCTTGAAAATAAATACTTCTGAAGACTTGTGGTGCATTTGTAATACATTCTTTTTATTAGTTTAACAAAGGAAAGTAAACCTGCACATAGGCAATATTAATTTCTGAAGCTATAGAAGTTTTTACAACTAAGAGCAGCCCCCAAACTTCTTGTCAACTAATTGCAAAAACATATTTCTCTTTCTTCTGCTGAATACAAAACCATCTCTTTCTTATCTCAGCCTAAGTAGAATCTGAATTCCTAGCTGACCTCAAATGACCATCTGACAACAATCATTTGGTGCTCAACTTCCGAAGGTGGTTAGCATATAACAATAAAGTTTCTGCCAGCAGCGCAGAATAGCCTTTTAGACAAATACTTTTCAGTGCTGGATGAGGTGGTTAATAGCGTTACTATACATTTTATTAGGAGGTATGGGATTGTCATACCTGCATTAGACCCTGTATAAAAAGTTCTCTACTGTTTCCTCAGCTGTTGAAAGGCTGAGGTCTAATTCAGATTGGGCCAGCCACATGAAGGCTAAGCAAAAAAGATGTGTGTGTGTGCTTTTGAATAGCCAGTAAGTGGGGGGAACTAAATCCCCACCCAGCCATTTGAAGAAGAAAAAAACAGGTGGTGGGTTGAGAACTTCCTCCCATCATTATATATATCCCGGGCCCAACAGAGCTGCCTCTCTCACTCCTTGGCACAGTGCTGCCCTGTAAAGTACTGCTTCTCCCATACAGCATGGGAGAAAATGATGCCAATTATAACATATGCACAAATCAAACAAATGAATACAAAAATGAAAGCTTACTTCAACAACAACAAAAAAATAAGTTGTGGGGTTGATTTTTTAATATATTGGTGTTTGTTCAATGTCATTATGCATCAGAAGACACAATGCTTGTTTTAGGAGAAACAGATGCTTTATGTACTTGAACACTTTGACAAAACAGAAAATATGAGAATGTAGTAAGAGCCAAAGGGGAGACTAAAAGCCCCACAAAATATGTAAAATATGATGATTTATTTTATCAATTTATCCTGAAAGTTAAAATCCACAACAGTATGACATACATACCTACCAAATAACAGTAAACTTACAGACAAAAGAATAAGCAATCCCAGCACTCAAATGTCAGTAAAAATAAAACTCAGAATTCATACTTTTGGCTCCCTGCCTTTTTTAGTGTTCTGAGAATGTAAAAGCATTCAGCTGAAAAACATGTCTACAGAGATTCGTAGACTGCTGTGTGCACTGTGTGCACTTTCCTAACATAACTCTACCAATATACCTTAATCATGACCTGCAACAACCTCACAATTCCGGTTCTGGGCCTCTTCTGAACAGCAGACAAGAAACCCCTAAGGACTAAGTTGAGACCACCATACTCATTTTCACTTATAACCAAATCCAGATTTGAACTTTGAAAGCCTAAGGTGGAGAGCTGATTGTAGAAAGGCAAATCCATTTTACGCTTAAAAGGGTGGGTAAAGTTACTTTACTTTGGGAATTGCCCTTCTATTTGGTCACTTCCAAAGAAATTTGACAGTAATACTGACTCCAAACATACTGAAATATAACAGATTGTAAAACATAATTCACTACAGCAAGCAGAATTTCGGGTGCACACTTGGATGTATGGAAGCCTCCTGGGTTCTTTGTATGGAGTACCACAACACAGAGAAATTATGAGACTCATAAAGAATCTTATCTATTAGAGAAAGAATGTGTGAGTCAAAGAACCAGTGAAGTTTTTTGGAAAGAAACAAATCTTGCAGAATGACCAGGCTGTTCAGACAGCCCATCTGCAGTGCAACCACATAAAAGGCCCATGGGCAAACACAAACGCATTAGCAGAAGTGCTTGAGGAATCTGCCAAGGAGCCAGATGCTGGTGCTTGCAGAATTTCTTCCATAGTTGTCATCTGGATCTTCCAACTGCCATCCAAAATGTGGACAATGAAAAATGGTGACCTAATAATACAGGATGCACCATGTACTGCTTTAATCTGAATAATCATCTGGACCCATGAACATGATTTTTTAAAACAATGATGTGAAAATAGTCAAGGCAAAGATGATGTATGTATTTCTGAAATCTTTCTTTAGGCTATAAAAATAATTAAAGCAGGATTTTCATTTGTCTCCTGTTGCCTGCTACACTGAAGGAGGCAAACAGACCCCCTACTTCCGCCACTGCTACTTTTCATGGCCACCTCCCTTCCAGTTGCTGACTTCTGTGGTCCCTCAACATAGGCTCCAGCCCTTTTGCCACCCTCCACCCAGCTCCGACTCAGCTATTGCCAGTCAGAGTAATACACGATGAAGGGAAGAGGAAAGTTTTACCGTCTGGTGGAGGAAAAAGGTTTTACAACTCTTCTTATGTTACATCCAGTGTAGACTGCTGCTCTGCTATCATTCTTCACCCTGATTGATCTCAATAGCAGTCCTCAGAGGAGACAGTCAAAATCATGATGTGATCTCACAGGGTTCTGATCTGGCACATTCATCAGAGGATAGTATCCAAGGATGAGGCAGTATGACCTAAAAGCATCCCTAAACTATAGGCCTGACAAAGTGGCATTCCCCATGGGCTCCATGGTGCCCACCAGTACTTCCCCTGGCACCTACTAAACTTTTCAGAAACTGGGTGCAGGCATTGTAAGGCAGGACTTGTTACTGGCTGCCCTCATTCAAATGAAAGGATTTCCGTGACTAGAACAGTGACTGCAGCCACCGGAGGATCAGGACTAGTGAGCATCTGGGCTTTCCTTCCTCAGTGAATGGTTCCATTCCCCCTTCAGTCTTTCCTTCTTTTTATTCCCCAGTCACTTTCTCCCTACCCCTATAACAGTGATGGCGAACCTTTTAGAGACCGAGTGCCCAAACTGCGACCCAAAACCCACTTATTTATCGCAAAGTGCCAACATGGCAATTTAACCTGAATACTGAGGTTTTACTTTAGAAAAAACAACTCATACATTAACTTAAGATGATCCAAACAAAGTAAGGAAAGCAATCCCAAATGTTTTCATTTACTTAAAATTATTTGACAGAGAATGATGGTCTGGGCCTGGCTGGGGCGATGGCACGCGTGCCCACAGAGAGGGCTCTGAGTGCCACCTCTGGCACCCGTGCCATAGGTTCGCCACAACTGCCCTATAAGCTTTTCCTTGTTTCTTTTTACTCCCCTTATTATTTTCTTTGAGAAACAAACCTTTTACCTCAAGGTATACTGCTTCTTTTGCAAAGCAGAGAGGGAGCTTAATTTTAGTCCTAGTGAGCTGGGCTGTTGCATGAAGGGTGCTAAGTGTTCAGGAGCAGAAGTCCACCCACCACTCCTCCTCCTCCAGGCTTGCTGTATTCCCAGTGGCTGGACCATGCTTCCAGCCAAAGTACAGATAATACTAACCTTGATAGATCATAGATCCAGAGGAGTTAGCCATGTTAGTCTGTTGCTGCAAAATAGTAGAAAGCCCATTAGCACCTTTAAGACTAACAAACTTTATTGTAGCATAAGCATTTGAGAAACACAGTTGTCTGACGAAGAGAACTGTGTTTCCCGAAAACTTATGCTACAATAAAATTTGTTAGTCTTAAAGGTGCTACTGGGCTTTTTACTACTTGTCAGATCAGTGGCCAGACTCTGAATAAGGCAGCCTCATGTGTTCAGCATAGGTTCCATTCAGTTTTTTTTTTTAAAGCATGTTGAGAAGTAGGGTTGCCAGGTCTTTCCTGGCTTCTGGTGTGTGTGGGGGTCCCTCTTCATGCCCTGGAGTGGTAACTATAGAGTTTTTTCTCAAACACTAGAGTGTGTGTCCCCTGCAACTTGCCCTGCGCAATGATGTCACCTCCAGGTGATGTCATTGAGCTGGGCACACTGGCACGGATGGGGCTCTTTGGGGCTCAGTGGTGGCATATCGGGGCCCCCAAAAGTGGGTAACCCCCCCATTGGGGGAATGGCACCCCTACTGGGAAGTATTGCATTTAGCTCTACCTTATGTGGCAGACCTTTTGGGCTTGGCTCTGCCTCCTGTGACAGTCGTTTTGCAGTAATCTTCACCAGCCTCTCTCAAAATTCCAAAGATGCCTGCAGGCTCAAAAAGGTCCTGGACCCCTACCTTAGAGTAAAGTATATCTAGAATAGGTCACAGGCACTTAGATTTGAATAACTGCTTTGAGCTACTGTCTTCCTGTTCTGTTC